AGCTAACCAGTATTTTCGCCCCTTCCCAAAATTACTTCAACGGAAGGTTTCCAGATGGATATGCGGAGCAAATCCATCTCGCGGAGTCAGGTTAGCACCACGCAGCATGAGGCTGAAACTCGAACTGATCCAAAAAATTCCCACACGACTGGAGAATCGGCCCCAAAAGGTTAAAATCTGACAGTTTACGCCCGAATTAAGTCGTTTAATGGAGACGTTTCAATTTCACCAACAGGTCTGCGGACATTTATGAGGTTAATGAAACTTTAGAAGAAAGAAAATAAAGTGAAGTTGATGCTGTTATTGCTGAGGGGAGAATCAGGATCAGAGCCGCAGCTTCAGGAGGCCCCTGATGTGAGTCTAAACAAACTCAAATATCGAAATCCTCCAAAAACATTTTATATGAAGCTATGGATGCTGTTTCAGAAGAAAAAAGGAGACAGGGTTTTTTTATTTATTATTTACTGCAGATGGAGAATAGTAGCCTGTAGTTTCTGGAGTTTATTAATATAGTAATTTTGGAAAACTATTCATTAAGGGTCCAAGTAGGAGCCTGGAGGCCCCCACTGTGGACAATATACACCATATAAGGTGGTGTAGTTGTTGATAAAAATAAAAGAACAATGATCACAGTGGAAGGATTTCAGCTCAGCTGATCTCAGATCAGGATGAACAGATCAACCAGAAAAGGCTGATAGTTTACCTGATTGAGAGGCTAAATGCCAAAATACTAAACATAACTCTCAGAAATCCACCTTAAAGTGATATTCAGGTTCCTCATTTCCTTTTGACAACAAACTCTGAGGCGTAACATTTAAAATATACATAAATAAAGGCTGAGGACATTTTATCTGCATTCAGGTTTTAGTTTGAATGAAAAACTAAAATAATAAGTTGATTAAAACACCAGCAGTGACACAGTCCTCCTCCATGTCATCCTGCTTTCCTCCACCAGGTGGCAGCATAGTATGGAGGATGAAAGGGGTTTACCTTGGAACTGGGATGTATTTGAGCTTTTTGGAGGTCAGATCGGTCACTTCCAGGTACGCCGCTGCCAGTGGAGGAGTCACATCTGAAAGAAGAAGACTTTTCAAACTCTGACCTTCATTCAACATCTCCTGCATGACCTGAACTCTGACCTTTCGGGTAGACGTCGCCCAGGGGAACCTGTGAGGGCGGAATGGCTCGGACCACCTGATTGGCCGACAGCAGGGCGATGCAGTTCTCCCGTTTGGCCGTGCCGCTCCGCAGCGCGCCTCTGAAGAACGTATGAGACCCGCTGCCGCTGCTCTTCACGGCCGACAGGTCGACGGGCCTCTTAAAGGTGTACACCTCGTTAGGGGACTGGTCCGACGGAAGCAAACACACCACAGCTGAAGGTTAAGAACCTCATTTACTGCTTTAGATGCTGTTTATGGTGGAAAACAGAGAATTTTAAATGTTTGCTCTCAAGGTTATTTAAAGTTCTCTGCAATAAAATCACATTTTCATTCATTTTGTTCAGAAAGCATTGATCCTCCTCACTGAACTATTCAGCATTGGTCACATTAATTAAATTAAATCTGCAGTTCTCAGTGTGTCGTACATTAATGAGGCATCAGGGCAGCGTGAGCTCAGCATCAGCCCAGTCACTCATTAAAGGAATAGTACACCCAAAACATGATTAGCCTTCATTTTCTACTCACCCCCATGCTGAACAACACTCTGGAGTACTTTTTTGATATAGGATTTCCTGAAAGCGCACGCCTGCGAGTTCACGACGCTACGGAAACCGCGGCAGACCAAACCAGATGAAA